CCATGGAAGCCATTATTAAAGACAAGATGTGAAGAACCAAGTAAAGCTCAATTAAAAACATCAAGAACATATCACTTCATGCGCATTAGGATAACTACAATTTTAAAAATTAAGTGTTGGTGAAGATGTTGAGAAATTTGAAGCCTGAAACACTGCCAGTGGAGCTGTACAATGGTGTAACTACAGAAAACAATATGGAGGTCCTTCAAAAAAATGAAAATAGAATTACTCTATGATCCAGTAATTCCTCTTCTGGGTATATATCCAAAATAATTGAAATTAGGATCCAAAAAGGTATTTGTACACTCATGTTCATAAGATCACTGCTCACAGCAGTCAAAAAGGGGAAGTAACCCAAGTGTTCACGGATGGATGAATGGATAAACAAAATTTGGTCTATACTTACAATGAAAAATGTGTCCTATTTGACTATAAGGAAAATTACTAACACCCTGCATTCTGACTGATATTTCCAACATTCAGAGATGGCCATTCTTCTATGAAGAATTGATTAAACAATTCTTCCTCTGGCCATCTTACATAGCACATATCTAAAATAGTCTTAAATTTTTAAGAGCCTTTGCAAATTAAATGAGACATGTTCCATACGTACACAATCGGCAGGATCATCACAAATAGAAAAAACAGATTTATCTAGTCATTCTTATGCTTTCTTGTTTTTTATTTCTAACTTTTTCTTTTTTGTGATTCCTAACTTTTAAAAATATTTATAAATGAGTCTGAGTTCAAATAATTATGCTACCTTGTAAATAAGCAATAAGAAACCTAAAGCATAAGTATGGTAATATATCTCTTATCTGCAGCACACAGTAAATGGAGATTTGAAAGTATGTTTAAGAATTACCTCTATAGAGAATACAATTGAATACAATTCAAAATAATATGCTTTACCTAGAGCATCTCTTTTGTACTTAACAGTCATCTCTACAGAAGAAATACAAATGATTTAATAACTTATATAGTATGTATTTCTCCACTTAAAAATATCACACTAAGAATAACTTCTTGTAAGCATGAAAATTATGTAGCACATTAGATAGGTTTCTAATATAGTGATAACATCAAGTTACATTTGGTAACAGTTTTCAATGTGCTATTGAGAGCATAACTACATAAAAAGAGTTCTTATAACACAACTCACATTGACAAATTATATATACAGCAGAGGAAATTAACCTCAAAATATTTATAACCATAAATAGAAGATGAACTACTAAAACAATTAATTGTTTATTTTAAAATTTAGCATGCATGCAAATTACTAATTCAAACAAACCCTTAGGCACTTGATCAGTAAAAAGTAAATGTCAAGGTTTTCTACTTGCGCTTACACTCAACACCTATAGGACTATGATAGAAACAAGAATTCTTATAACTGCCCAAAGAAAAGAGCTTGTCAGGTATTCCCTTAACCTCAATCTTGCCACAAGTCACATTCTGCTCCTATTACAACAGATGAAAAGTTAGTAGCAAGACCAAAAAGTCTTGCTTAGAGATTCATAACTTTCTCATATTTTTTTTCTCCCATGGCATCCCTCTGTCATGTTCACATAATAGCTCACTCAGTTCATTCAAGTCCAGTAACAAGTTTTACTACAACGGCAGTAAAATCTTGGAATATGTGCTATACAGTAAGTAAATTACAGGGTATCCATTATTGTTCCATTAGCTTAACACAGATTTAAAGTATGTATTAGTCAGTTTTAAGTTCCACATTTTCAATTTCTGATGCAATAAGCCCCTCATCTAGCTCTGACTACTCTTGGTTTAAACATTGTTTTACATTATATATTCTGTTTTTTCTTTTCATCTTTTTTTAACATTTTTTAATATTACTCATTGCAGTTTTATTTCTGTACTTTACCAACAGAAATTCTGTACCTGCTCATTTATCTAATTAAGACATAGAATACACTACTCTGAGTATCAATATTGACTAGATAAGCCTGGGTTCTCCTTAGCCTAATTTTTCTTGCTCTATCGTTCTGTCTTCCTTTCTAATAGTATTGGGGCTAAAATTCTTAATTCTTCTTTACAATCAACTCCCTTCAGTATCAGCAACTCAAGTGGGTGAATCATAATTCAAATCTCCCAGGCACATTAACATACAAAGCATTCACTCAACATACATCTCATTCTAATAATTTTTATTTGGAACATGTATTAAAATGACATATATATACAATTTTAATAATCATCAGACTAGTCTGGAGTAGTTAAATGACAGTGATCTTTTCAGGAAGAGATTTTTGTAAAATAAAGAAGTATTTTTGATATACTTCCTATTCAATGTTGCAACATAAACAACTCAACTCCGTATAGAACTATCTCGTATATCTGAATCAATGAAAAGTAGTGAACATTTATGTCAAGAGTTTCAGACAGAAAAGAGACACCTAGCTTAAAAAAAAAAAAAATCAAGCCGGGCGCGGTGGCTCAGGCCTGTAATCCCAGCACTTTGGGAGGCCGAGGCGAGTGGATCACAAGGTCAAGATATCGAGACCATCCTGGTCAACACGGTGAAACCCCGTCTCTACTAAAACTACAAAAAATTAGCTGGGCATGGTGGCGCGTGCCTGTAATCCCAGCTACTTAGGAGGCTGAGGCAGGAGAATTGCCTGAACCCAGGGGGCAGAGGTTGCGGTGAGCCGAGATCGCGCCATTGCACTCCAGCCTGGGTAACAAGAGCGAAACTCCGTCTCAAAAAACAAAAAAAAGATCAAAAAGATCCTAGCCTACAATGTATATACTAAAGGAATACTGCAATCAGAAAGAAACTTAGAATAAAGTATTTCCCATTATAACAACAAATATATGTATATGTATATCTTTTTCCACACTGGGCATTTCTTTCCCTAAAAGATTTTACCTAATGAGAAACATATCCTTAAAATATGAATTCAAATAATCAGTAGCATATCTTGACAGTTCTTAATAAAGAAAAAATTCCTTAGAAATCCAAGCAGGCAGGAGCAAAAACAAACTCTTTCTCCATCAATGTTAACATTCTTATATACAAGAGTAAACCAAAAGGATAATGACAAGTTAAAGTTAAGAGAATAATGCTATATTAAGATATTTCTGGCTGGCCGGGCGCGGTGGCTCATGCCTGTAAATCCAGCACTTTGGGAGGCCGAGGCGGGTGGATCACGAGGTCAAGAGATTGAGACCATCCTGGTCAACATGGTGAAACCCCGTCTCTACTAAAACTACAAAAAATTAGCTGGGCATGGT